AGATTAAATGAAGCCTTCATATCGTACTTTAGTATGGAGGGGAGACAGTGTTAAAAAAGAAAAACAACAACAAAAAAAACAAACGAAACAGAAAAACAACACTGAGTTCTCCAGTTGGGGCACTTGGAGATTCTTATGGTGGGATCAAATTAAAAACGAGAGGGAGAGAATGCTGTTTCTGACCAATGGTTTCCATTTTGAACATGCAAAGAATTCAGGTAGCCAGGAAACGAGGGGTAAAGTACTACAAGAGAACCCTTTCCTATTGATTGTAGTGTTAGTTTACCTCTCAGGCAAACAGCAGTCCACTTCCAAACATTCACTATTCCAACAAGTTATGTAACAAAACTTATAAAATTCCTTTTACCTTTCTTCCTCTTCCTTTTTTTTTTTTTGTTTGTATGTTTTTTACAAAAGAAAGACATCAAAAATACTGCTGAATATACCGCACATCGAACAAACTGATTTGGAAAAAATTTATATGTAATTTACAGTATACTTACCACGCGTTAGAAAAATTTGATTTCCCACCAAAGAGTCAGTATGAGAGCCCACTGCGTCTACATTCCCCAGCCTGACGATTTGGAATCCATGCTTGAACCAAAGCCTCCGTTAAACCCACTGCTGGACCCCGCGTTGGAAGCTGAGCCCCAGCCTATTGCTGCTCCCGAGTTGGAACCACCGTAAGAGTTATTTCCTGAGCTGAAGCCCTGATTCTGTTCCCGCTGCATGTTGCCTTGGGGCTGGTTGTTTCCCGACGGCCCTGACTGGTTCTGCTGGCTAGCCAGCATGCCCATCATCCCCCAGCTGCTCTGCAGGGCTGCCTGTGCTGCTGCCATCATGGCAGGGTTGATGCTAAAGGCTCCGAAGTTCATGCCACCGCCCATGTTACTGCCCTGGTTGTTACCCAGTCCTCCCCCACCTCCTCTGCTGTTGCCAAACCCCCCCTGATTCCCAAAACCTCCTGGATTACCACCAAATCTTCCACCTCTCTCTAACTGCCTATTGCTATTGTGCTTAGGTTCAGCATTGGATATATGTACGCTGATTCCTTTAATGATCAAGTCCTCTCCACAAAGAGACTGGGCAACCTACAAAAAATAAGGGATTAGTTAAAAGTAGGCTATTATATTTTTTTAGTAAGAACATTTAGTAGTACAAGACAAAATAAGCCCGTGTAATCCTAAGAAGATATTTATTTAACCTGAAAAGAAGCATATGTGTAGATATGAGGTGTTCTATCTTCATGTTTGCTACAGAACTAACTGCAGTATAAAAGCTGTATGCACAACAGCATCTGAGTAACCTAACCTCAGCCAGGCCAACACCACCGAAGGGACCCTAAGGGTCACCCAGCTACTGAAACACAGGCTGTCTAAACATGAGGTTAAAATGCTTTAACACGTACCTGATCATCTGCAAATGTAACAAAAGCAAAAGCTCGGAAAGGTTTAGGAATGAAGACATCTACCACTTCTCCATACTGAGCAAAGAACTGCTGGAGTTCATCTGCTGTCATGTCCTCAGTGCAGCGCCCAACAAACACTTTTCTGCTCCGCAAAGGCTCATCAGGACTTTGCTGAAGAGAATTGAAGAGAGAAGTATAATTAATAATGAAAACTTTAACATGAAGACTGCTGTTCAGAAGACTGAAGATAACAAAGTTTGAACTTGTAAGCTTAAGACTTCCAAAATTCTCTTCAAAGAGCATGTCTGCAACTTGGTACAGATGGGAACAGGCAAATAAAGGTAGTCAGTTACAGACAGTGACAAGGCAGTGCAGGACATGTCACTGTGCTGTACATTTAACTGCATATGCACACGAACAGAAAAGACTCACTGATATTCCATAGTTTATATATTCTGCCTCCTCTGTGCATCAGACAAGATAAGCAACATACTGCTGCATGTTAATAACATATTATTTTGAATTTTGTATTGGGAAATTGAGTCCCCAGCACCTCTCATTCTCTTCCTGTTCACCCACCTCCTCTATTTTCTTTATCCTAAACCCAAAAACCACAACCAGGGCTTTTATTAATGTGTTCATCTGCTCACTTTGCACAGTGGCTCAAGAAGAGTAGTTGTGAATGTTAGGTAAAACAAAGGTAGTCATAAATATGAAAGTACCTTAGAGTTGGGAAGCTTACAGTCGCACCATCTGCCATCTATCATGTGTCTCTGGGACATGACTTTCACCTGGGTTTCGTAATCCGTAAAACGAACAAAACCGAAACCCTTTGAGTGACCGGTCTTAATATCCTTCTTAACCTAGGATAAAAAAGCAGACTTTGAAACAGAACGCAGTAGCACTGCTCGTACTGACGACATTAATGGCATGCTATTTACCTATCATCTTCTGTATCAGTCTTGATATCATCGTCACCAGGAAGGATGCACTCAGATCTGATTACTCCCTTGTACTCAACTACCTTTTCCTATGAAACTTGCCTTGCTATTACACAGTCACAGCACAGGCTTCTGACACCTACAAATTTAATGCATTCTGACTGCTTTGAGCCCCAGTGTTAGTTACTGAAGCAGCAGGATCAGCACCTGGATATAATTATTTTGTAACACTGTAATGGCATGGCCAGACTTGCTGTATAAACAAAGCAACCACACATAGCTGCATGTGGGACACAGCCAGGTAACAGAAGGTAAAGATGTAAGAGCATTTCCGTGGCAGTGAGATCTTCCCCTTCTGGGAGGATAAAAATATCCTGCATGAGAAGAGAGAAGAAAACTGAAGCGAGCTTATATTTCAGCTTCTCTCAGCAAAGAGCCCCTAGGCCTGGCCAGGTCACCACAGCTGTGCCTGTCCCAGACCAGCAGCACCAGCACAGTGCTTGCAGCTGGCACAGGAGATGCTGCACAGGCTGTGTGAGGTAGTGGTGACACAGAGGCAACCTAGAGCATGGAACATGCTGTTCCTGAATTAATTTAGTAAGGCTTTGTTTCAAAGTTTGAAAAATAGACACATTCTCAGCTTCAACAATTAATAATGGTAACATAAACAGATCTTAATATACTGTACCCATTAGGCAGATCTGCATGGATTACCACTCCCAAATACTCCTACCTGTACCTACACCAGTCTGCAGCTACAAGGCTCATGGAACAAACTACCTACGAACTGAGGCACACAGCTTCAAATCTGCTCTGCACGTACATGGCTCTGGTTCTTTCTACTGGCATCATCAGAACCCCGATTTCGAATCAACATCTTTCCTTACTCAAAAAGTATTTTACCTGCACCATGAGAACTTCTCCAAACGTACTGAAGTATTCCTTTAAGTCTTGTTCTGTAGTTTTCCAGGGTAAACCTAGGACAATTAAGTCTGAAGTCTTCTGTACTGCTCGTTTTACCTTCACGGCTGATGATGCATCTGTTTCATCCATTTTTCTCTTATTATCTGAATACAACGATGTACGTTAGAAATTATCCTCGTAAACTTAGAAACTGCTTCCACTAATCTTGAACAGTGTGGTATAAAACCAGACAACAATAAGAGAAAGTGCAGACTGCGGAAGAACACACGCCAGCTGTTGGAGGTTATCATTACGACCCACAGCCAACTGTCTGCAAGCGTGAGGAAAGAAAGAACTACTTTACCAAATCCTCCTCAAAAATACATTCTGAGTTAGTTTTGCATTAGTTCACTCAAGGACCACCCAGTAATGTTTAGGGTCCTCTGAGGATGAGAACAAGACGGGTTTTTAACAAGAATATTAAATGAGAAGACCATTTCTAATTCTGGAGAGAGTGCCTTTGGTTGCTCTTTTCCTCAGCACTTATCTCAAAAGGTAGCTGTGACCAAAGCATGGCTCGAAGCATCTGTGAGCACGCACAGAGCCAGCAATCTTTAGAAGTTCTAATTAGGCTGCAGCTCTCCCAAGCACAACATAGAACTTTGTCATTCAAGCACTTCTGCAGCTAAAGAATTAAAGATTCGTGTGCATCTGAAAACTCAGCAGGTTCAACTTCACCTGCGGGACAAACACGAGTAAAATCAGAGGATTTCTGCCAACGCGAGGACTCAACATGCATCGACTAAAAGCACGCTCGTAAGGAAACACAAAGGCGCAGGCACGAACCTTTGGGGTAGTTCACCACATAGACCAGGTTGCCCCAGCCGGCCTCGGGGGCGTGCAGGATGCCCTCCACCAGCCGCACGCCCCGCATACACTGCGACACCGGGTTGCGGTAGCGCAGCCCACACGCCCCGGGGAACTGCGCCGTCACGGTGGACAGCAGCACCGTGCCGTCATCCTCCGAGGGGATCTCGATGGGCTCGTCATTCTCGTCCTCCGTGACCCGGATGTACTCCGACATCTTCGCTGGAAGTCACTGAAGCGTGGGAGAGAAACACGCGTAAACAACCGCCCGAGCGAAGCGCGACGTCGGCTTCCGGCCTCCGCGCCTCGGGCCCGATCGCGGCCAACACACAGCGGCACGGAGCGGCGCCGCGCACGGAGCGGCAGCGCCTCGCCCCGCCCCGAGCAGCGCGGGCCCCGCAGCGGCGCCGCGGGGCTCAGAGCCGCCCGCGGAGCGACCCGCGAGAAGGACTCGGGCCCCGGCCCCGCCGCCCGCCTCACCGGCGGCCCATCGGGCCCGACCCCCCCCGGCGGCCCCGTCCGCAGAACCCCGAGCCGCCTCACCGGGCGGGAAGGCAGCGCCGTGTCCTCAGCCGTCAGCGCCTCCGCCGCGCGCCGCACAAAATGGCGGCCGCCGCCTCCCGCGGAGGCCGGGCCGCGGGGCGAACCACTTCGGGAGGCGGAGGGGGAAGATCGGCGCGCCGCCGCCGGCCTGGGGGAAGAGGTCGGGCTCGAGGCACGCCGCCTTCGAGCCGAGCCGGAGCCGGTCCCGAGCTTCCGGAACGGCGCAGGCGGCGAGAACCGGGAACGGGGCGGCAGCCCGCGCCGGCGCCCCCGCGCACGGAGGTGGTACGGACCGAGCCGCGCATGCGCGAGCTCGCGGAGGCCGCCGGGAGGGGCGGGGCAGCGCGAGGCGTTCCCGCCGCGTGCGTCTTCCTCACTGCGCGGCTGTGCGCCGAGAGGGGCGGTGTTGGTTTGTCTGCCCTGCCCGGCCTCGTAAAGCCATTCGGTGCGGCTGCTAGGTGTGTAACGTAGGTCGTGCTGGCTGTTGTAGCGCTGTTTACCATAACAGGGTTTAATCCTTTGTAAGCCCAATTTCTATTTACTTAAAGGGAAGTTAAACCTTCCCGTACTGCACAGCGATCTCCTGAATCGAAAGCCACGATAGCTAAAGGACCCTCGTGTCCTGCTGCTGCTCTTCTGGCTCCCTGAGGTAAAGCCGCCGTGCAGGACTGTGTGCGTGCTGTGCTCACAGCCCGGCAGCCCTGTGTGCGGGCAGCAGGGCTGAGGGGGCTGAAACCGCGGGCTGTGGTAAGGAAAGCAGCTCCTGTCTCCACCTGTTCTTGGTGCCTCTCCTCCCATCCACGCCTGGGCTGTGCTCCCACCTAACTTGACTTCCCTTGCACTTCCCTCTCTCTTAAAAAAAAAAAGGCAATATTAGTAGAGGTAGATGACTACTGCTAGGAAGGGCCAATCCAGTTCCTTGCATCAATGCAGAGGTTTGCTGAGTATTTAAGGCCCCCACTTAAAATTTGCAATTGTAAAAATTGGCTCTGGCACCATTGAAACCTGGCCCATCGATGCCCTTGTAGCTTTAGACTCAGCCTTATCATTTAATTACCGTTTTCCAACAGAGTTCTGAGAGCGACTCACAAGGCTCAGGCTGACGAGATAAGCTAATGCTTCACGTAGGCGTTCTCTTGAAATTCCTGCATTTTCCAGCCATCCACAAGACGCATCCCAAACCCAGTTCTGGTGTTGCCAAGTCAGCACGGAGGTAGTCAGTGTTGTCTGAACACGCTGTGAGGACTGAGCGGTAATTGCAGCATGTCAACATTACCTACTGCACCATTTCAAGTCAAAGCTATAGTTTAGCAATCATGCTATTTGAAGAGGTTGTCGTGGCATTCAGCCAAAGTGACCTCTATCTGACAGAGCATCTGCTGGTAATTTTATTAATGAGCAGAGTAAACATCAACCCTGTGCTAGATTGGTGCAGGTAAGAGCTAGGGGAGGGCAGTGAGCTTGCTGCCTGTACAGGGAAAGGGAAGAAAGGCGATTGTTCACAAGAGAAACTGGCCCCTACAGCTCATTCCTCAGATTTTGCAACAACCAACCTTAGAATTAAACAGATGTGATGTTTTCTGTAAAAACAGGGATTCTTGCAGTGTTTTCCTACTGTTAGTTTGCACGTTTATTAGATTTAAGTTAAGCAAACAACAGCAGTATTGCTCTTGAAGCAACTACACCAGCAGGCAGGCAGCTAGCTAATTCACCAGTTCTCTCACACTGGCAATTCACAGTGCCCATGGGTGCAGCCAAATGCAGTACCATGGTACTAGCCATCGTGTATATCGAGTTAAGTGTGCCCACAGGAAGAAAAGAAAATGCAATACAATAACTATTTGCTGCTCTAGGTTAAGTGTGCTCAGGGGTACAAACAAACTCCAAAACCATCAGCTGTTTGTTCTCTCTCTCCCAAAAGCACTTGGGGTGAAAAAACAACATCATTGGGCATGCAAATATAACCTCATGATTAAACAAACAAGCAAAACAGATAAACAGGGAGTACTGAGGCCTGTTTCTAACTTCAGTTAGATCAGTAAAAAGGATTTAAATAATGATGGCATTTCAGTGTAATCGGATTCTGGCCTGGCTTTGCCAATAGTAAGTAAGGTGCATCTCTCAACCTTACTTAGTGGGAGTGACAATCACAATTTCCCCTCTCTTGATATGGGAGAAAGGTTCTCTGCAGAGAAATCTGAGCAACTTAAAGATCATGTTCTCCATGTTGGTTCTCATTCTAACTACATAGCGAGAAAAAAAAGAGCCTGCATCCTTTTAGTCAGTCTTACTCTGCTCCTTTATAAGCACAGTCCTCCCTACCACGAGCACCAAGTAAAGCCCACCTTGCACGTATTTACCTAAAGGAAGAGGACACTGCAGTTATTTCTCTTTGTCATTTGAGGCCATTTGAGCCTTCAATTAAGCAGGTTGTATATCAGATACTGTTCTCTCCCAAGAGAGCAAGATCAGTAATATTTCATTTTCCTAGCTACAGCTGAAAATCCATTCACACACAGAAGAGCAGTGCTTTACAATACTTATCTTTCTCCCTTCCTCTTTGAAGAAGCTTTCATCACAAGGACATTTGCAATAATTACTTCCTCCTTTCCCCAGAAACGTCTACCATAAGCAGAACTTTCTGCACACAAGCAGAGGAAAACTTTGCTCTACATACACATACAAAACTTCTCCTGTGAGCTTCCCAATATAAAGATTAAACACCTGACCAGACCCTCTTTTTGGGGAGAACACTTGGAGCCACACCTTGCAGTCACAAACTATCCCACCCAGGCTGGGTGTAAGGCTGGTGATGTTCTGCCTTCAGTTCCAGGTGGGCAGTAACAGTCCTGCCAGCAAACCCAGTGCAGTGCAGTAACAGACCCTCAGGGACAGGGAATGAAAACATGAAAATCTATAGCTTCAGCGTTCTTTAACCCTTGGTGCTGAGGCCAGTCTTGCATCAGCTCTGCAGTATTCTTACACAGGATCACAAATGTTGCATTAAGCTCTGATAAACTGCAAATGAAACATTTATGTTAAAAAAAATTCCTAATACCTAGCAGCCTAGAAACAACTTCCTACAGAAGAGCTTCTTTTAAGCATAATAAGCAGCTTCCACCCATGTAAAATACCTGGAAAGAGCTCTCAGTCCGTTGTTCTCACAGCAGTGCTCTTCCTAGCCCCCTTTGTTGAAGCAGTTCTAAGGCTTCATTACGGCACCTGACTGCAAGCAACTTTCCCATGATCCTAAAAGGCCACCATTTCAATTATTTCATTTTAAATCCACCTGAGATGGTTTTCTCATTCCTTATTTCCTGTCCTTATTTACTTAACTCTTCCAAAACTGATTGGAACTCCTGATGTGTTTTTCAAGCTCACAGCAAGCACAACTGAAGCCAAATGATTTGTGTGCTTGACTTGCAGGGAGCCAGAAGGACGCGGTGCCTGTTAGCCTGGGACCTTCCAGCACTAGTAGCTGTTTGGAAAAAAAACCTCTGGCTTTTCTTCCTCTGCCTCACTACGAAGTGAAACTGCTGCTTTTTACTGCCAGACAGATGCTGAGTGTTAGAGAAAGAAGAAACTATCAGAATTGGCAATGAATGTTTGTGGGAGTGAGGCTGATTTGCTCGTGTTCTTTTCAGACTGCTGGGGTCAGCCATCCAGGTGTGGTTTCCCAGAGCCCTCATCTACAGAAAGATGCACTTGGCAAGGAGAAAATGTGCAGTGATTGGAAAGGCAGCAGTGGTGACAAAAGGCCGCTCTCAGCTCCGCAGCATCTGCTGGCAGTTTGGTGCTGACTGCTACCTTTGTTTCTGAGCTGTGAGCTACAGACAGTGGGTGGAAGCCATGGAAGCAGGAGGCCCGTGCTTCTGTTGGCTACCCTGAGCACAAACGACTGTCTTGTTACACTGAGCAAGCAGCAGTGCTGCAGCGTTCCAGCTCCTGCTGACACAGTTGCTAATTCTTACTTGTCTGCTGAGACAGAGGGAATGTTTTCTTGTCTTGGGGAATGTTTTCTCTGGCTTTGTGCTCTAGGTTGGCAGACAAGTGGCAGGCATTGTGAGGCTGGCATCAAATATCACCTTTTTGTTTTAGTTTAGACAAGGTGGTTGGAGGATTTAAGTTAGCGGAGTTTGTGACCGTGATCATACACAGGAGTCTTGCTTTTAGAAGCTGAAAATCAGGGTTCAAAGCACAACGGCACATAGCATCTGACATCTTCACCATCTTGTTTGATTGGTACCTGTGGGAACTGCCCAACGTTTGCATCTTGTACATGGAGAATGCAGAAATGAACTGCGTTCTGTTTTGTTTGGCAGAACCAGCAAACCATCTGCAAGTCACCTCCCTAGTTTTTCTGGCCCATCCACAGCAGAGCCTGGGAAGAATGTCAGCCTGTGGTTCTCAGAAGCACCCAGGAGGCTCTCGGAGCTCGGTTCCTGGTGAAGATGTGGCAGGCATCTTCCAAAGGAATTTGCCTTGTGCAGCGGATTGCAGCTAGGATTCAGGCTTTTTAGATTATGCAGTAACTCCCAGCGCAGGAGAGCGTGAATCTCCACCAGCACAGGATCCACAAACCAAAGGACAAATCCCAGCTGTGCTGGGAGCTTCGGGTCCTTACACCTGCACGTGGTTTGCAGTGAATACAAACTTACAGCTGCAGTTGGAAATAGGCTCTTTCAATGCTAAAACCACAGGTGGCTTGGGTAAACTTGAGCAGCTTTTCCTGTAAGTGGGAATAGCATAAAGGATAAATTTGCCAGGATCAATTTAAGAGCTGTTTTGTTGGGTTTTCCTTAGTTTTTTTTCTTTTTTTCCCCTTCTTTCCTCTCAAACACTGGGCATAATTTTTTGCAAACGTGCATGGAAGCAGTAGCTCAAGTATGAGACAGAGACTGTTTTAAAATGGTTTGGTTGTACTGCCTGCTCGATGGTATTCTTTTAAAGAACATTTACGAAAGATTTATGTAAAATCTATCTTTTGTCTACTTAAAATATGTCAAATGGATGCACAGGGCAAAATTTAATGCATATGGGTTTTCATTATTTTAAATCATTTGCAATATAAGTGATTTACTGTGACATCAGACGTTCGTTCTTTGGCTGTCCACCATAAATTGAAGCCCACCCAAATTTCCACTTTTATATTTATATTTCTGCGTTCCCTCCCCCAGTATCTCTAACCTCAGCTCTGCGATTCTTCATGTAAATGACTTTCAGGAAGGAAAGGAAGGGAACACATAATTGGCCTTAATACAGGTAATACTGAAAGAAAAGCGAGACCTTTATGTGAGAAATTGTTGACAGCTGTGGAAAGGGGGGAACTAATGCATGTAGGAGAGCAAGTCCTTCCTGATGAGAGCTACTGGATGTGATCAAATGGACTTCAGTGCTACTGAAACTGCCAGAGGTGACAGACATCTATCTTCTGCTTCCTGAATGTTTTCATGTCTTTTTAGCGTCTTTCCATTTATAATGCAGTTAATTGAACACTGACCTGTTAAGGTTCCACACAGCTGTTTGGAAAACTGAGGTAAGCCAGTTTGCCCAAGGTCATTCTTGTAGTGAGAAACGGGTGACAGCTGACGCCCAGAATGATGCCCTCATTGCAAACCTTCTCCTAAAACATGCAAAAATCTTGAGACACAGATTTTTTGGAAGACCTTGTGGGGAACAGCATTCATTATTGTGTTTCTGGTTGTGTCATGACAGTTAATGCACACAGACCTTTGGACCCATCATCAGCCTGTATGTGAAGCCTTCCTGGCTCCGTATGTACTGAAAGCTGCTGCTACCTGTTAGTCCTTCAGCGGCCTGTGCTACCAGGCTTAACCACCTCAGCTCAGCCCTGTTTCTCATCCACCCACGTCATCTCAAGACCTACGAGGTCAGCAGACTCCACTGAGATCCTTATTTCTACTAATTACATTGAAAGACAGTTCCGTTTGGACCAGATGTTGTACCTGTGCAAGCTTCCCCCCACCCACAGCACTTCGACATCACTCCCTCCCTAATTGCTGCCCAACAATTGCACTATTACTGCTCACACAGATAGTTCTCAAATGTGAATTTCCTAACGATTTGTGGCAACTCTGAGCAACGTTAGAAACTTCAGCACCATCCCGAAGGGAATCTTAATTCTGATATCCAGACTATCTGCCCAGTCCTACATTTAGGTGTGTCTGATGGTCACCACTGAAATATTTCATGCCTTTCCCACAGTGCTACTCCTAAAGCAACAGCACTGCCAACAATATTCATCCTGCAGTCAGAGCAGGGTTAGATCATGTGGTGGACCTGCATGTGCTGGTCTTCATTCTAGCCTCCAGTGGCTTAACTACTGCAAGATCCAATTGAGAAAAATGTTAGCCTACTTCTGATTTATGTAGCAAAGTGCAGAGGAGAGCAGAAGCTTTTAGTATCTTGGGAAGTGGTTAGAAATTAAGGCCAAAGAAAGGACACTCGTGTCCATTACATCCTTAAGAAAACCCAACAAATCTTCAGTGAAAGTCCTGGCTGCTGAACTGTTCCTGGGCTGGCAGATGTTCACAGCTCCCTTGGCAGATACAGAGGAAAGCTACTGGGCCCACTTCGATACCAGCCCTTACAACTGCGTTCAGAGGGCTGTGCAGTTGTGAGGAGGCCTCGCAGGGCCGGGTTCTTTCAGCTTTTTGTCCTGAAATGAAATTAGGGAACGCATCAAATCTTTTAAGAACTCTGATGATCTCTTGTCAGCGATCTCGGCTGAACACAGAGCTTCAGTGGAGATGTGGATGAGGGATGGAAATGAATGCGAAGTGCAAGGCTGACACCTGGAGGGCACTGCTGAGCTGCAGGCAGCCTGGGGGAGCTGGGGATGCTGCAGCACAGCGTGGGTTAGGAAAGCTCAGAGGAGGTGGTTTTGGATCTGCTCTTCTCTAGTGAAGGCCTTTCGATATGCTTCCCTCTCCTCTCTTCTAACAAAAGAAAAAAAAATCCAAATTTCAATCTCAGCTTTTCCATATCTATTTTTTTAGGAGTGGATAAGAGCAAAAGAGCAAACGCTGGGTTATCTACGTTTTCACTTCTTCCACATTCAGGAATACTTTGATCAAAACCTTCTGGCTCAGTAAGCCACTGCAGGCAGTGAGTCAGTTCTTTGGTTGTTCAGCATAACTTATTTGATTGCTGCACGCCGGCTTTCTGCTGCTGCTTTGTCCTTTGTGTAATGGTGCTGTGAGTTTCTGGAGCAGAGACTTGCAGGGCAGTTCCTACTGCCAAAGCTGCAGCTGGCAAGTTGGCATCACGTAGAGCTTGGTCTTCTCATGCCTGGCTGTCAGCGCCCGTGGTAAGGCTCTTCTTGAAGCTGATCCTAATCAAGGAATGCAAGGCAGCTTCTGGGACAAAGTCTTCGTGCTTTTGGAGGTTTGCTTCCCAGCCTGGCAATCACCCATTCGCAGTGCTTACTCAAACCTTTCCAGTAATCTTTCTTCTGTGCCAGGAATTATCTTCGTATTTCTGAAAGTCGTTTTTGCTTGATCTAATTTTGGAATATGTTAATAAATGAGTTGTTTACTGTGCTGTCATGACTATACACTGCATATCTCAGAAACCCAAATATTCTATGTCCATTACCACTCCTTAATTCCACTGTGGTTCCAATCAGCATAAAATTTGCATAGCAGTAAATATTTTCTTTAAATGGAAATGGACAAAAAAAAAGAAGTTATTTTTCAGAACTCAGTTCTACTAATTCAACTGCAGCACACCTTCCTTATCCTCCATGTGTCTTTACCTCTGTCCTAGTTGACTGCATTTCTTTCTCTCCTAGCCATCAGACTTCCAAGATATCACCAATATTATGTTCCTCCTGCTGTGGATACCAAACTACTCCATACGTTCCCACCCACACCAGCTCCATGGGTGAGCCATAAAAATACTTCCTCCAGGCACTGGGGAGCAGAAGAGAGGCACACTGCCAACTCGAGCAGCAGCACAAGACGTTCGGTGTGCTGGAGGTGCTTCTTTTCAGCCCAGAGACCTGAAAAGAACACCACCATCTCTGAGGCTCCTGTTCCTCCAGCATTTATTAACCACTAAGGTTCTGAAGAGGCAACAGCATCTTTCCTCCTCCTCCAGTAATGTTGCCTGCACTGGACTGTCAGTTACTCTGTCATACTGGATCACTTGTGGTTATGCAGCAGTGTAGACAAATGCCAGTTCAAGATCAAGGCAGAACACTAAACTTGTCTCACCTGAGACTTATTCTATACTCAAACCTGCCTCTTGCTGACGTTCTATTAACCCAATCTGTCATCCTCCTAACCCCCATTATCCAACCCAAGCAGATGACTTACTTTGGGAAGATCCGTAGATAGCTTTCATGCAAACTGTTCAGTAGGTCCAGGAGCCATAGCTGGATTCCACAGGGAGCTATGGTCACAAGATACAATCGCTTGTATCCTGGATGCTTACAAACTCAGTAACGTTCTCCCTGTTCAGACATCGCCTGGACTGTCTGTCACTCCTACAAAGCAGCAGGTGGGCTGGCAGCAGTCTGATACAATCCTAAATGCCTATCTTCAGGCCTGCATGTGGTCCTAGAGATCAGCAAAGGTAAATGTAAGCAAACACTTCCAGGGAAGCACGTGCCAAAACATACTATTGCAGTCAGAAGCAGTGAATGGCCCCTCCTGAGCCCCAAAATGAAGTGTTCAAGTCAAGAAACAGCTTGCTGCCTTCTCAAGAGTTCACCACTTCCAGTTTGCAAGCTTGGGGAGGGAAATCCAGGCAGTGTCATTAAATCACTGACAGCAGAGTAAAGGGCTGCAGAAGGAGTTACACATCAGGGTGAGGTGGCTTAACCTCCCAGGGCAAGATTCATTTCTTACAAGTAAACTACAAATCAAATAGCAAAGTCAAATAGCAGGAACTGTTGCACTTGTTTGACTCTCAGGAGGATGAAAAGTAAAAAGGCAACGCCAGCTGTGTATTTTTTACATACAGCAGTAATAACTCGAGAACATGAGAATAACTGAGCAGCTGTGCGCAGCTACCTGAGTACGACAGAGGTGTGCGCTCCCACATGCGCCCCCATGTCAGCAGCAAACCTGAGACAGAGCGAAAGAGAAACGCTGAGGAGCTGTGAGATTTGGTGAGATTCGCGGAGCGGACATGAGGGGGCACTCTTATCTTCGGTTTGCTCGTGGCAAAAGTGCTGTGTAATATCAGGCAGGGTCACTGCGGGCAGCTTGCTTCAGCCTGAGTCGCTGTGCCAAGATGTGGAGCCTTGTCCCTCTCCACAGAAGGGTTCCGTGCAGGTTTTTCGCAGCTCTTTATGCAGAAGGTGAACGCTGTCCCTTTAAGTCAGCTCAGACATCTCAGTCCAAATGGGGAATGAAGCCCAGGCTACCTACAGTTATGAAACCTCTCTTTTTGAGCTTACAGGCTTAGGGGCCGCTACTGCACTCCGAGGTTAATAATCAGTTTTAATATTCACTTAGGGGGCTGTAAAAAAAGAATGAAAATTTCCTAATTTGAAAATGGACTTGATTGGCAGCTTTATTATCTCTGTAAGGTGCATGGCATTCCACACAATCAAGTCGTTTTTTAAAATAATCTCACTGCTTAAGTCGTACACGCTGCTAATTGCATTTTAATAAGTCTCTTTAAAATCTTTCCATATTTTTTAATATCCTAATATTAGATAAGTGATTGCTGGGGACACTGGAGGGCACTGAAGTTTATAGAAAGAGGAACGCCATAATGAAGCTTTATTGGGATGGCATCACCAAACAATTGCTGTGATAGCAACACTCCCAAGCCTGGAAAAATGCCAGGCATTCCCCCTGGAACTGACTCAGACACTAGCCTCTCTGGCTCAGGACTAACACAGAAAATGGATGCTTTCTGGTTCATAAAATGGCCTCTTTCCAGCTTGGAAATGACTGAGGAACTGTCCGCTGGATTTGGAAAGCACTCCAGAGATGGTCTTTCTCCATCAACAACTTCAAAACTCATCTGTTCTGCTTCGGATTATGGCTTGGAACTATGAGAGAGGGTTTTTTCTTCTTTTTACTTCTTCTTTTTTTTTTTTTTTCCAAATTTGACTCAGGCTACTCAGAAAAGTTGGTGGATTTTTTTTCCTAAGAAAAACACAACGACAACAAAAAAAATAACTCTATCCAATAGCAGAGGTTGTAGGAGACTTCTATAGGAATTAGGAAACCACTGCTTTTAAGCGGAAAAGATTATTTTCCATCTCAAAGATCAAACCCAATTTAGAGAGCATTATGAAAATTGTTCCCCCCTGTGCTGCTGGATGGGAGTTGTGTCCCACCCCCATGCCTGTTTTCCCACCTCCAACCCTCAGCAGATGAACCTGGAGGGACAAAAGTCAATGGGTATCTGTGCTGCACACAGAAACAACAGCGCCAAAGAACAGAGGTAACAATCCGGGCTTCATCGCTTCCCAATTTAAGGAAAAAAATCACTTGAGTTGGCTGGAACTGACAAAGTCTTGACTCAGGCACCCCGTGCTACAGTGGGTTTCGAACCGAGACTCAAAGTGGACCCTGCATGAGCATCAGCTGCTGCATCAGTTACGAGCCAGTGGTGCAGGAAGGTGCTCCCCAGCACCTCATGCAGATCCCCAACTTTTTTCTTTCCTGCTATAATTCTGCCTTAGATTCAGTGCTGTGCTCCCCTTATTTGACAGCCGTGTTTCTCTCAGTTACGACCGTCGGGCAATTAATGTTACTTTCAGGGTCACTTAACAGCACCGTCCATGTGGAGAAAAACATAATCCCAAATTAATGCATAGCTGGCTTCTAGATCTACACCAAGAAAAAGGGACATTGCTTTGCCGAAACAAAATGGAAATGCCTAGCTTTACATTGCCTTTTGTCCTCTGCAGTAACAGTTCATTGAGAGCTCAGAGTCGAAAACTATGTTGAGAACAAGTGATTAATGCATTGTGTTTGTTTTCTTTAAATCTTATCCTGTGAAATCATGCCGTAATAAATCAGAACGTCGCCGTTGCTTTTGAAAAATATAAAGTTTCTAACAGTTCCCTCATGGAAAGAAAATCTGTAAAAATCCTCTTAAAGATCCAAAACCTGAGCTACAAATACAGAGAATCTTTAATTACCTTTGTTAATTTCCATTATGTTTATGTTGTTTTGTCAAACCTGGCTATGTACTTGAAACGGGCAATGCAAACATCTTGCATTTGTTTGAAAGTGAGCCATTTTTTGACTAACTGAAGATCTGCTTGTCTATCCATGTGTTTCTTCTGCACATCAGAGAATCTTTGGACTCAATCCATAATATCTTTAGGTCTGATCTTATTCCCACTGAAATCCAAAGGAGTTCTGCCACTGACTCCCAGCTAAAATGGGGATCAAGCTCTGTATAACTGCAGACAATGAAGAAGAACAGGTTGTATATTAAATACTTTTGCTACTAGTTGTATTTTTCTACTTCTGGGGTGTATGAGACACCACTGTAAAGAAAAGCATCCCTGAAGTTAGCCATGGAGCATGAAGAGCTGTCATTTCACAGAGCTTCCCGTCTTCTTTTTTCCCCCCTCTTTTTCCTCCATCTCCTTCTGCAAAGAAGAGAAGGTCGCATCTCACCCTGACAGGCTGGGAGGCACATGTTCAGCGAACTTCTGCACAGGAAGTGAATGTCCAGGTCATATTTATCCCTTTTCATGTGGTTCTTTTAATCCCCCAGATTGGGTTTCAGAAGAGTTTTACAGTTTCAGTTTTACAAAGCAAACCTTCCTTTAATGTTGGCATTTTAAAGAAAAAGCTTCAGTCAAAACATGTGTGTTTTACATCAGCCAGATGTGACATATGGAGAAGCGGGCCACAATGTGGCAGCCAGCTCTGCTCCGGCAGCCAGCTGGGCTGATGCTGGACCTCAAGTGGGAGCTACTGGTCCCAGCCTGGGATCAGCCTCCCGCTTTTCTCACCCAGAAGAAACCATTAAATGAAGTCCTTTATGTTGAGGAGCTTCAGTTAAAGAAGAAAAGAACCCCAAACCTTAAGCTAAAGGGAAGTGAGAGGCGCAGAAGGCAGCAGAGGCATCTTATGGCCAGCACAGTGCTAGCAGGCAGTGGCTGCTCCAGAAGCAAAAGTCATCTCTGTGTTTTCCTCCCTCTGAATATCACTATCCCTGCCACCTGCTGCTTCTAGAATCCCATTTTTTTTTTTATCTTTTGACTTGAAAAATAAGCAAAAATAGCATGTAACCTCTCCAAAGAGCAGATCACATAGCCCCCACCCAGCCAGGTAGGGCAGATCCACCTGGGAGCTTTCCTTGGCATCAGGGCCAACTGTGACAGGGCACAGGCTTTACTCCAACCTCCAAACACCCTTCATGGTAGCACTGGGCTGCAATTTGCACCTGACTGATGGCTTCTAACAGCCGTGGCTCTGCTGAAGCTGCCTCACAGCAGCACCATGCAAGGGAACTTCCAGCCTTTTTTAGCCAGCCCAGCAGGGTTGCTGTGCTGCTCCGGGGCCTCGTTATTTGTGTAGGACCCTAATTGCCTGTGCAGCACCACCTGGGCTCATCACCTGCACAGCTGACCACTAACAAAGGAGAGGGAACTGCCCTCCTCTGGCCGCCATTTTGGGGCTGCTGGAGGCCATCTTGGGGCTGGTTGCAGCTCCACGTTGGGGCAGCTGTGGAAGGGCTGGAGTAAAACTGAGAAATTCTGCATCTGAAAAGCCTCTTTCTCAGCACGTGTAGCCTGCAGCCTGCTGTAGGCAACTTTTTTTTTCTTCTTTTTCCTCCTGGTTTTCTCCTGTTGTCTCCTCGGAGCCTTCCTCAGCCAGCTCCCTGAGGAAGCATGTTCTGGAGGCAGCTGTGGAGAATTGCTGGAGCCTCGCTTCAGAGCGTCCCGAGGAGAGATTTCTGCAAATGCCATTCCTGGTGTCCCAGCAGTCCTGCTGGCGTCTGGGACAGACAGAGAGCCACGGTCAGAGTGAGGAGCCGCTGGGCGGCCACTGGGCTCCATGCAGGAGCAGCTCTGTGCT